CACACACACACACACACACACACAGGTCGGAGACAAATGCTGTCAGGATCAGTTCAGTCTCGTACCAAAAAACACGACTTCAATTTGTAGAAATCCATAAATTAAATTACAGCACTGAAGAGATGAGAATTCAGAATTTGATCAGATTTAGAAGGAAAAACTACAAATACTGTGATCAGGAGTTTACATGGACACCGATATTCTGTGATTAAGATGATAGAATTATAAGAATAAAGTCGTGAGATTATAAGAATAAAGTTGTAGCTTTACTTTTCACGCAGGAGCCGAGTCGATCTTCTGATATTCACTCTCTAACGTGACACAGACCAAAATCACAACATTATTCTGGTTAATTTAATTTATTCTTGTACATTTACGACTTTATTCTACAAATGTCAGATTTAAATTTCCTTTCGTGTCCGAACCCGACCAGAGCCCGAAGTTTTCCCTGATTGCAGCGCAGTCAGCTGCCGGACGACTCGTGTCCTGGGTTTGATTGTGAATCGGACTCAGCGGTGCTAATGTTTACGTCATCATCAGACTCCGCTCTGTGACATACAACAGGAATATAAATTGATTTCTATTAGCTCCTCATGTAAACTTCATAATCACACGTGTCCAGGTCAGACGGTCGGTGTCCATGTAAACATCTGTTTCCCTCCAGCTCAGCAGAGTCAACACTCGACTCCTCAGTGTAGATTCAATGTCTCTGAATCACAAACAGTCGTATTGGTTTAGCCTGGATTTAAGATTAGAAACATGTGGTACCTGTTCTGTGGCTGAGTGTTTGGATTGTTGTGGGGACGCTTTCGTATTTGCTTTTTTCCAAGAGTTACACAAGACGCCGAGAAAAAAAAAAAATCCATCCACCGTTAATATCTCACACAAGCTGTCGGCTTTAGCTTCACACGTACGTGGCAGGAGAGCGGTGGTGTCGACCGTCTCATCCGACTCAACCTCAACCCTTTAAAGCAGAAATAAAATCATCATCACACGTCATGTGTGTTTATGAGCTTCGGGGGTCACGACCTCCAGGTCGGGAGCGTCTGGTTTAAAGCACAGGAAAGGTTTAACACAGAGCGCGGCCTCGTCACAGCAACATCACGTCAGAGCAAACCAAGGACATCCTGTGCGCTTGTTTTATTAAAGGTGTGTTCCAAGTATTTAGAGCTGTCCTCTGTAAAGACGGGGGGGATTCACAAGAGAAGGGTTTTAAAAAAAGAAATCTGAGACTTGATTTAGTTCCTTCAATAAGTCAAAGACTTTCCTGACGCTTGCATTTGTGACCCAGGCTTTCTATTCGAGCTTTAGCTGAGCATTAGTTAATGCTGCCGCCTCTCTCCAACTAAACTTAATTTAACATGTGAAATCAGCGGAATGTCCCTTTAAATCTGTTTCTAACATTAGTTTCGCTGCTTGTTTCCCTTTAAAAACACCAGAAACAAGTAAAACTGTTGATTTGTATCAAGGTTAAAGTTCAGAAAATGATTTTCTTGCAGTAGAAGTGATGTGATAACGAAACAATGCACCAGGGACACAAACGTGAATCAACAGATCTGCAGTGTAAATGAAGTGTTTCTGGACTGATCAGCAAACTTATACCAACATATGCAAAACTCGGGAGTTCAAAACCACGAGAAACTTACATTTGAAGTCATTTGTCCGCTGAATCCTACGTCCTGTTCAATCGGACTATAAGTAAAGATGGACAACGCGTCTCTGCTTCGTCTCGCGGAACAAAAATGAGGCGAAATGAGTCTGTGTGGTAGCGATGGAAGAGCGGAGCCACGGTGTCAATGTCCTCAACCCATCGTGAGTCAGTCTCAGCTGTCAATCATTTAAAGTCAAACTTGTCAGAAACTTGAGCAGTGTGATCAAAACTACCTAAACTGTGTCTAACACTTGCTTTGACGTTTTAGTTTGACCTATGTCCCATCCACTAACGTGGAGGAGTGTTTATGGTTCATAGTGTAGCCAGCCACTAGGGGGCAATCGAGATGATTCGGCTTCGCGTTTTGGGAGTTATCACGTCGTCCATCTTTATTTATTTAAATATTTACCTTGATTCTAAACTGAGTCCACGTGTGCACGTCCACTTTTACTTCCTGGTTCGAGACTGAGGGTAAAACATCAAGATCGTCCCGTGAGTAAATCAAGCGCTCAGTATTTGCGTCAGGCTGTCGTGATGTCACGTCGTACATGTTTGACTCTGTGTGGAAGAAAAGTGAAAACCTTGTAACACCCAGAGGACGCCGGGTCCAGCCGGGTCCAAACACCAAAACTCTCTGCGTGGCTAATTCTTGTCGTTTGATCAGCGACGGTTTCTCGACTCTCAAAGATTTTTTTTCAGCAGCTGTGAGGCTACAGCAAGAAACAGACCAGATGTGCTGTGGCTGCATCGTAACATTATTACACATGTTGACTGTTAGTGGTGAAATAAACCGTGAAACACACCTGCTTTGGTTTGGTTTTCTTTAGAGTGACTTGTCTTTACTACTGACGATTTTATCCAAACAGATTTATGTTGTTTTTACAAAATGTGTCTCATCGGACGAGAACACACAGAGAGTTTGTGTTCCGGCCGAGCGGCTCAAACACAGAGCGAGAGGTTTGTTTTGCAGAATATCATTAGATTAGTCTGAAAAGAGTCAAAATCCAAATCCATTTTAAGAGTGAAACCTTACGACGCATGTTATTTGACCGTTCACTGTGCATGTAAACAGGAAGCAGATTTTAAAACTAAAATGTAAACGTGAGCCTAACATGACGGCTTCTCTGTTATGAGAAGGTTTTGGGTTCCATGTTTAGTTTCTGAATTAAATGATAATGTGGAAACCTCCACACAGCGGAGCTGGACAGTGAAAGGTGTGTGTGTGTGTGTGTGTGTGTGTCCAGTCATACCCGTCATGCATACTTGTGTTTAATTGCTGCTCCTTGATCGCTCTTCCATGAACTCCTGCATCAATAATGACACAGCATGGAACAGAGACCTGCTCAGCTCAGGTTTCCATCCTGTAACAAACACCGACACAGGTTCCGTGAGCGAGGGGTCTCAGAAGAGTCCGAGGTCACACGCTACAAAGCAGAATCCACATTATCTCCCTCTGTTGTGTGCAGGTTTGCAGAGTTTAGTTTTAATTTGTCCGAGTTTGGAGATATTTAAAACATCCCAGTGAATGAAAGTGAACGGACTCTAACTCGCAGCAAAGGTTAATGACATTTTAAATATTCAACAGCAGCGTCTCAAAGTTCTCAAACAGCTTCTTGTGGACATTGTTGAGACATCGTTGTGTTGGTGTTTAATAATTTAAATTAAGTCATCGGGGAGCACGACTGGTTTTTTGTTGCCGGCTCTGATTGTTCGCTCTGTCTCTTTTTAACCGTGAGTTTGAATCGAGCTCCAGATATTTGTTGGCTTTAGATTTCTTTCTGTATCGAGATGCAAACCTCACACCGCTCCTCTGACGTCACCGACAAGTCAAAGCTCCTGGTGTCGTCGTCTCCTCAGAGAGTTCCAGACATTTCTGCAGACAAAGGTTGTAATTTAGTGCCATGTCTCCATGTTCTGATGAACACGACGCCGCACCTCACTGTTCTATGTTCGGCATGTGAACCATCGTCACGGTCTGCAGAATGAGCCTTGTATCCACAGCTCTGACTTCCACCCGGGGAAACGATCTTACGAGAGCACACAGATCAAATCCAGTGTTTACTCAACAGAGCTGCAGAGGGGGAATTCCTGAAGAGTGTGCGTAAGGAGAACAATAAAAACACGTTACATACAATGGAGATATATATAAATATACCCGGGCCTGAGCCGTGGGTACGAATCTCGAAAGTCGAACGTATGACCATGATTTTATGAAGCAGACGCTGACGTCTCAATCACGAGTCACGTTCGTCATCACAGGCTTGATTGGCTGAAAGACGTCACGTGAGAAGAGACGCCGAAACAGATGTGGTCCAGATTTTACTATTCCGATCACAACTGATAACACTAAGAGTCACTAAAGGATAAGATGATCGCATATCTTTGAAACGTTGGCATCAACGACGGTACATCGTACAGATACGATAATTGATGCGTTGATTGAGCGTTTGATGTCAATTTTGAGATATTTTGTCATTTGGTCGTGTGTACAAAATGATTTTTAAATGGAGGGAAAATATCAATAAAAAAAATTAATAACAAGTGGTTTAGACAAAATACGAGTCTCCGCAAACTTCAAGGGATCATGAAGAGAGAGTGATATGAAGAGGTTATGCAACGTGGTGAGTGTGTGTGTGTGTTAATGTGTTTGTGTGTGTGTGTGTGTGTTAGTGTGTTTGTGTGTGTGTGGCCCCTGGTGATGTGTTGGCAGAAACAATGTGAGTGGTATGAGGCCAGTTAGTAACAGCTGCTCACATCTCCACCAAAAACACTGGTTTATATAACCGGTGCTAAGAAACACACACTGCAGGGAAAACACAGAGTTTATGTGTGTGTGTGTGTGTGTGTGTGTGTGTGTGTGTGTGTGTGTGTGTGAGTACATGGGTTGAGTGGTGATGTGATTTAAGTCCATGTATAAACATTCACTGTATATGTGTGTGAGCGTAGAACAGAAAATGAAACGTACTCTGATATAAAAACATCGACCTGTTTCTCAGTGAAGTTTCGTCTTCGCACGGTAACTTTGGTTCCAAACCTGGAAAAAGTCTTGCTGTTGTTTGGGCCTGCAGAAGTTCTGTCGTGGTTCAAAAGTCTCAAAGTGTTAATGTTATTTTCAGTGAAGCTGACGCAGCCAGATCGGCAGCGAACAGTCAAAGTTGGCGAGGAGCTGGGGAACAGTCTGAACTGAAAACCAACTTGGTTCCACGTCTGCTGGACGTGTCAACGAGCAGCTGAGTGAAGTTTTTAATAAACTAATTAGATTTAATAAAAAAATAATGTATATCAGAGCTTTGGTTTTAATTATTGATTAATTATCCAGTGTG